TCCCTTTATTCTCGCAATATATTAGTCTCACACAACACACAGAGCCTCACACCCATAAACACAGACCCACTCATTAATTCAATCTCTGGTGATGATATATTTTCTCGCTCATCGCACAAACACATACAGAGTTTCTCGATCTCGTGAACACTCTCACTCTCATTTCTCCGTCCATCTCCCCTTCCTCCCGGGGCAAATGGGTTGACATGGACTGACTTGGCTACCGCACTGTAGCTTTCGAGCACTGATTTGCAGCAATCGCCTGAGAGCCTTCCACTGTTTATCTTGGAGATAATGATAATGCTTCAGGGTGAGCAGACCCAACTCATCGCAGCCTTTTATGGCTTCAACAATGAGAGTGTGGACATTAGAGATGACTATTACTAAGAGATACAGCATTAGATAGACATATGTTTGAGTCATTGTCACACCAGAATCAATGCAATATAGATTTGCAGAGCAGCAGAAGATAATAATTACATTTCAAATGGTAATCTGTGAGATTTTTTGTTTTTGTGACATTTCGTTTTACAGTAAAAGCATTTTAAGTATCACATATGTGCTGAAATGAATACAATAAAGAAAAATAAGTTTTACTTAAAGGTACAGACAGCATGTCAGATGATGAGATTAGCATTTGCTTTGTGGATTTTGTAAATTGCTGTGTGAGAAAGGTCTTCCCTATATTATAATGGAGATTCCTGTGGTGACCAAATGTGTGAGGCATTAGTTCAAAAATGTGCATGGATTTTGCGTTGTCACCTGCACAGCTAAGTGGGAAAAGATAGATTATCATTGCTGAGAGCAACTTTCAGAGTCTTACACAGCAGTTTTTTTCCTGTCCCAGCTTTGAATATTATGAACAAGAGAAGAGCTGTGGGCATTGTTGCTGGCTCCGGCTGTGTAATGTCAAATCGATACCTGGTGCGTTTCGGGTTTCACAAATGAAAAATACAAGCAGATTTGATCAATGTACAAGAGGGATGTATGACTTGAGGCTTGTACTGCTCTTGTAATACAAGACAGATCCATAGCGCAGCCTCAGTCCAGGTTAATCTATGAAGCCAGATGAAAATTGGCACTTAGCTGGTGCAAGTTTGACTCACTCTTATTGACTGGAGAAGCCAGACAAATCTATGAGTATAAGGGCACTTGGCAAAAGTTAAGAAATTTGAAAGTTTACAGAAGGACTTGCACTTGCTTTTGAATAGCTCAGTAATTAAAAACACACACAGTGTCAATATTCTATGTGGGAAAAGTAGATAAATGGCAAATAACCGTCCGTAACATTAAACAGTAGGTTTTACTTTAAGGAACCAGGAAATCACGAGGTGCTGATTTCAGTTTGGTATAAAACTCTTCATCTGTGACACAGGATTTCCCAAGAGGGAAAGCACATCTCATCTTCTCGTTTCAAGGGGAAACAGAATTGAAATTGCAGTTCATATTATTAATAATAAAACTTAAAGTCCCCCTCTACTCAAAATATTTTTTGGATGTTTCAGTTTCACTGTGCAGAATGATAGTTTGACACTAGAAGAATGTTTT